ATATTGAAGATCAATCATTCATAGAATTTCTCGGCATTCTATAAAATTTGAGTTCTTATCTCCCCCTAATGCCGTGAAATGATCTTCATAAAGTGTGCAGTCAGCGTACATAATTATATATTGATCCCTTATCATGGGCTCTAAAGATTTAATTAACAGACGGAGGTTTATAATCAACATATACATGCCCACAATGTACGCTATGGTGGTGATATAGGAAAAGACTGCACATTGTGAATAAAACACATATGGGAAATGTTACGGGGAATACTTATGATATGCAGCAGGCCAGATTGTGATAACAACAATAACATATAAAACTGATGTCCCTAACAAGAAAATATATAATTGCCCAAGGCGATGCACTAAATCATGATATACTATAAAATCATGTGGGTCTTTAAAGCCTTTAAATGTGCATCGCAATATATGAAGTACCCAAAACATATATGCAATCATCTAAGAGTAACATATATAATCAGATATGAAAGCATACATATCAAATGATATTATAAGGGTACACAACAATCATAAGGAAGTTGGAAGCTTGTCAAATAAAATAAATCTTCAGGATCTCCAAAAAATTCTTATCCTCAATTTTACATTAGTTCACTCACTGGTTTGGGAATTGCTTCGTGCAAATTCACATGATATAATTCACTCTCTCATTTGCTTCGGGCAAACTGATATGAAATAATTTATTCCTTCGTTTTCTTCAGGCAAATTGATATGATATAATTCATTCTCTCGTTTGCTTCGGGCAAACTGATATGATATAATTCGTTTATATCTTCCAAACCAATAACATCTAAATCAATCATATCATGTATGGCATAAGTCAAAGATCATTCTTATAAAGGAGTATATCACTCCTTAAACAGCACAGAATTGCACTAAGCCATAGTCGGAGAGGGATTTGTCATGTTGACATCTAGTCAAAAGATGATTATCATAATTTGTTGATAATAGCAATCCTTCCGGATTGATATAGAATTTATGGAACAAATAATAATTCAACTTTAAATTAGCATCCAGTCAATTGCATACAAGAGTCATGATTGCATGCATGAGAAAATTTCCATAAATAAGCATGCAAACTAAAGAAGTAACTCCGAGAAGTAAACTTCCTGCGGAAAATAAAATCCGGGAAGTAAATATCAATCGAAAATTAAAATTTCAAGAAATAAGATTAGAAAGTTAAGCTTAGAGGACAAGCTTAGAGAAGTAAACTTTCTGAATAGTCACTTCGAGTAGTAAAAATAGCAAGGAAAATAAGCAAAGTAAAATCACTTTGCATTGATCATAATTTACATCCAAAAATAACTTTGTGCTCAAAGACACTTTTGGAGTATATATACTTCTCGGCCACGCAATAAATACTGCGGCCATGAATTAACTTTTCGGGTGCTTCAGACATAAACTAACTTCTCGGATGCTTCAAGCATGAGCTAACTTCTCAGATACTTCAAGCATGAGCTAACTTCTCGGATGCTTCATGCTTCTGGCATGGACTAACTTTTTCAGCCATGTATATATTTTCATACATTGTTCAAAACATTATCATGACACCAATCATTTCTTCATTAATACCTCATCATCATTTCATTATCATCATTTATCGATGTATTTGCTTAAGGTAAATTAGCTAGAATCATCAAGATGAGACGCATTCTTCGACGACCAAATGCTTTGGTGTGCGGCACGTAGGGATCAATGCCCTTCACATCCACATTGATAGCAAACCTGCTTCTGGCTAGAATTTTGCCTCGATGAGTTTGGTCGTCCTTGAATATCTTGATCACTTTGTTTCTTATTCTGAGCTCGAAACTCATACCACACCGGTTATAATCTCGACTGCAACCCCTTATAAAGTTACTCAATTAGGTAACATTATGTGCTTCAGGCACCTGTGCAAAATCAACCAGACATGCATTTTGATTCTTCGTCAACAACTAGTTATGTTTCTTAGCCACAAGAAGTGCTAAAATCAGCTTAGGATGCTTCTCATAATTTGTTGTCTTGTACTACTGCTGGGGTACAAATTACTCACACCAAAAGTTCGCAATGTCTTTTCAATTAAATATTTCTCTAAAACTTCTTGTTTAGAGTTTCACTTCTGGGGCTATTTTGTGCAGAGCTGAATTATAGTCAGTTACTGACTTATAATCTTAAAACTTAAGATTAATCTAGTCAAATTGTGTCTGAGGAAGGACAATAGATGACTACTAGTCAAAATGGTCCTTCAGGGACTTACATAACGCAATAGGAATTTTTTCAATCAAATACTCATTTTTAAAATCGGGGTTCAAGTAGTGACGTATGAAAATGAGAGCTTGTGCCATCTGGGCATCGGTTCTCTGTGACTTAGCAATAAAAGTTTGGCTCGATTTCTTATATGCCAAATATATGTCAATATCCAAAGCCCAAGTGAAATAATTGCTATCGACATGAGCGAGCTCAATAAATTCACATTTTCAATGAAATGCATAATCTACAAGATCATCATTTGATGCAACTTTAAGAAGTAATGTGACAACTTGTGAAAAAAAACCACTATTTTGAATACATGTTCAAGCAATGGATGAAGAAACACCTTTTACATAAATATGCATATCCGTTTCTTAGCATTCTAATACAAACACAACAATCCAATGCAAACATAATAAGGATCGATTATGCATTCAATATCCATAGTCATAGAACATACATGGATACATATACATACAATTTGGCATATAACCACATGTATTTACCATTTCAAAGCATCATGGTTCATATAGAGCCTATCGCATATACATGAATTGAGAGAATAAATAAAGATAATACGTATTTACAAATTCATGTATTTACCCAAATTCTTAACCATGTCTTGTTGAGGGGTTCATCACTCAAAAGTTGTTAACAAACATAAAGAATTATCACCCATTTCATAGAAACAATAATTATTGAAGGTTCCAAACCAAACTCATAGCCATATATACACATAATATTTATACATAAACAATGACATATGATTCAAAAAACAAAAAACACAGGAAAAATGAACCAATAGTACTGTTCATCGGAGATTACAATAGAGACTCGTGCTGATAACGTGTTGTAATTCGGTCTATCAACTCGTTAGTTCTCGCGTGATGTTTGCAACATTGTTACTTGTCACTTTTCTTTTTAGTTTGTTTCAAAATAGTGTCCTCTTTCAAGACTGAACAAACTACTACCCTTTTGACTTCTTTCAAATTTTTAGACAACTAATGAGATAAGTACAATTTTACATTGTACAAATGACATCTACTTTTTTAGGGGCATAATTAAAAAATTAGTATATTGCATTAAAAACCGTACAAAATGCAAATGTGATAAATAATTAGGGACCGGCCTGAGTTGAAATGTTTTGGGGGAGGGGGGGGGGGGGGTGGTAGTTGGCGACATGGCTTAAAAGTTGTTCAAAATTGCTTATTCTGTTCATTTGAGAGGTAAAGAATATTATTTTAACAAAAAAAAAAAAAACCAATATATTAATATCATTAAATTAAAATACCATCAGAATAAATGAATATGAAACTTTTAATGTACACTTTTAATGGCTTTTCTGTACATTAAAAGTTTCAAATATTACAAATTTAAGAAATGTTCAAAATTGCTTATTCTGTTCATTTGAGAGGTAAAGAATATTTTTTTAACAAAAAAAAAAAAAAAACACCAATATATTAATATCATCAAATTAAAATACCATAGGAAAAAATAAATGAATTAAATTAAAGAATATGAAACTCCATACATCAAATGGAAATCTACCAAAATTCTATTGTTTGATAACAAAAACATATTATGAAATGTCATTAATTAGATAAATTGTTTGATAACAAAAACATCATGATAAATTATAAGATTTTATTTATTTATTTATTTATGAGAAAAACCTATTGCCGATTAACTATCGATGTGTGTTTGGTTCGCACATGGGAATCGAAATCGGAATCGGAATCAGTATCAAATACTTGGTAATGGTAATGCGTTTTGGTAAAAGTATTTTGCATGTTTAGTAATAGGGTGGAATGAGAATGATTAGGCTAATGATGAAAAATGGGATGAAACCCTTATAGAATAAGGGAATGGGTTTTTCCATTCATAATGGGATATTTCAAACTCATAGTAGTATTTTAAAAATCAGTCAACCAGACAATAACAATTACTTTCATATCTATACCTGAGTGTTAAACTTTCTAACCAAAACCACCCTTAATTTTTACAAGAGTTAATCAACATTTTAGTCCCTCTACTTTTAATGTAGTTTCTAATTTTCAAATTTAATTAATTTGATTCTCGAATTGTTTAAATTTTTGTCAATTTTTAAATAGTGATTTGCATTTTTAAAATTTCGCTAATATGGTCCCTAAAAGGGTAAATGAAATTTTAAACAATTTGATCCTGAAATTGAAAATAAAGACTACATTAACTGAAAATTAATTAAGGGACCAAAAAAATATTGATTTTACCTTCTTACAACTGGTTCAAGTTTTTTTGTTTTGTTTTATTTTTTTGTTTTGTTTTGGTTTTTTTTTTTTTTTTTTTTTTTTTTTTTTTCTGAAAGGAACTTTATGGTTTTAATTTGGTTGAAGTCCAAAATCTTTTTACATAATGACAAGAATTATATCAATTTGAAATATTGGATAAATTTGTAAAAATAATTTTCTTCTTTTTACATAATGACAAGAATTATATCAATTTGAAATATTGGATAAATTTGTAAAAATAATTTTCTTTTAAGTTTTAACAAAAAAAATGGTATTGATTTTTTAAAACACTATATATTTGGATAAGAAATGATCAAAATTGCTTATTCTGTTTGTTTTTTGTTTTTTGTTTTTTTTTGTTTTTTAATTTGTTTTTTTGTTTTTTTTTTTTTAACTTGAAAGGAATTGCTTATTCTGTTCATTTGGGAGGTAAATAATATTTTTTTAACAAAAAAAAAAAAAAAAAAACAAAAACAAAATACTCCAATATATTAATATCATTAAATTAAAATGTCATCAGAATAAATGAATTAAATTAAAGAATATGAAACTCCATACACCAAATGGAAATCTACCAAAATTCTAAATGTCTCACTCTCACATCAGAAACAACAACCCAACCACAAGCCCAAATCCCACACCCAAGCTGCCCTTCAATCCCACAGCCCCGCTAGTCGGAGCCACCGCCGGAGCTTCAACCTCATCCGCCGGGGAAGGCGCCGCCGCCGTCAAGAACTTCCTGGTGTGCTTCTCAGACAGAACCACCACAATCACCTTCTGCCCCTTCTGGCAATGCCCTTCTGCACCGCTGATGAAGTAGTACGGCCCGGATCGCTCCAGCACTATCTTCGTGTCCCCGTCGCTGTGGGCCCCAATCGGCATTGATGTGTTGCAGGTCACATAGTCCCTTTTGCTCACTTCCAGCACCGCGTCCGCTTTGCCGTCATATTTCCACACTGCAAAACAACCACAAAAATGACACAATCAATAAACATGCAGTCCTAGTAGAGATGGAGCAATTTACCAAACTAAATATTGTTTATATATAGTAAGTATTTTACCTAGAGAGTCACCGGGGAGGAAGCGAGTTTTCTGGGCCCAGTTATTGAGAGAATCGGAAGGAGAAGAAGGGATTTTCCAGGCGTCAGGTTTGCCGCCGACCAAGTGGTCTCTAGCTTCTGTGAAGCTGATGAAGAGAAAGAAGAACAACAGAACCGCCACTGAACAAGAAGAAGAAGAAAAACCAGCCATTTTTGTTTTCTCTGCTTCAAGAAACGCTATTATCAGCGAGAGAGAATAGGAGAGAAGAGAAGAGAAGAGAAGAGATGAGATGAATGTTGTGGAAGAGAAGAAGGGGTGGTGAGTATATATAGCGCAGAGGGAGAGAGAGGAGAGTGAAAAGTGAAAACTAGCCGTTGGAGTTTTCAGGTAGCTGAATAAGCCTTTGTTTGTTTTGTGTTCTGGGATTCCGAGAACTGCAATTGTTTTGTCGACAACTCTACAACGGAAAGTATTTGTCCTTTTAACGGTCAGGATTCAAAGGCATTTATGTAACACTTCTTTTACTGCACGACTTAATTATAGTTTAATTTGACCATGACCGTTGCCTTGCGCAAATTTGTGGACTCGGTCCCCTTGCGAGATGGATTCAAGTCCAAATACACAATTTATATACTAAATGTTTATAATTTATCTTTTAAAAATTTACAATTTGTATTTTAAAAACACACAATGTTAACATATTTGTAGTCGATTATCTTGTTTTGTATTCATAAATTACTTAAATATTGCACTCACACAATATTAACATATTAGGATTTAATAACCCTGTATTATATTTATAAATTTCCTTCTACAGTTGTTATATGTTTTGACTCAAAAACACCATTTCTATTCTAGAAATTCATAATTCCAATACTAAAAATACACAATTTATAAGTCGTTTAGGATCATGATTCACCTTGCAAGGTGGACGACAGGTTCCACCTTGCGAGGTATCCTGATCCATGGTATAATTTTTACATTTTAATAATTTTTTTTTATTATTATCATATCCAAATCCCAACCTCATATCAGATTAGATCCCAAGTCTGGTATGAAACGGTAACAAATTTGTGTAAAAATATCATTTATAAAAATAAAATGTTATACTCTCATCATCCTATTTATATGTGTCTATCTTGAAATTTAGCTTAAATTATTACAATTTAATACTTACTAATATTTAACTTAGTATTAATATATAAAATTTATATATCTAAAATTAACATTCATTAAAATATTATTAGATATAAAATTTTATATTTAATCAATATAAATGAATAGGAGATTGAAGACAATAAATAAAAGAGAAAAGAAAACATTAATTAATCACATAAAAATAGTCACGGGACAAAAATTGTGTGATTTTGTATGGTGGAAATCATTTCCCTAAATAAAAATATTTTCAAAAAATTGCATTGGAGATGCCTTAAAGTTAGAAAACAAAGTCTAAGGAAAAACACGTGGCAGTTATCCTTGTGACTCAGCAGTCCAGGTGTCATCAACCAGCAGCGCTATCTGCCACGCGTTAATATTCTACGCACTTTAACGTCTTCTCTCGTGCAAAGCCCACGCTACAGCACCAACTCAAACACGCATAAAACCATTTCCCCAGAAAATGATTCATAAATCTGAAGAAAACATAAACTAAAATTCATTAATTTTTTTTTAAAAAAGAAGAAGTTATCCCCTTGATCATATATCACGAGTATGGCGGATGCGCCGAGGACGAGCGCGGCGGAGGGATCAAAGAGAGCAAACCCGGCCGCCGCAGAAGTGCTGCACCAGCGGCGAGGCCTGCCGTACAGCCCGGCAACCATGGCGCTAGGCGGGGTCGCCATCGTTGGCGCCGTTTGGTATTTCACCAGCTACACCAAGAAGAAGCGGGAAGCGAGTGCCAGAGTATCCGCCGGGACAGCCAGTCCGGAGGAGACGCATCCCCGCAAATAGACTTCTTGCATATCATATCATTCTCCGGCCATATGATACACCATGTTCTATTAGTATTATTTTACAGCAGTTATAACATAGTAATGGAGTAATGGGGTAACTTTATGATTCCGTATAAATAATTTGAAGAAAGAGATTAAAAAATATATACTCTTTTCGTCTATTTTGTTTGTCTTCAATTAACAAGGTTTAATTGAAATTATTTTTAATTAAATTTTATAATATTTAAAAAAATTACACTTTTAATTGATAGTCAATATGTAATGTTGTCCTTAGTTTTCAATTTGAACAGAATTGGTCTCTCAATTATTCTACTCTTAATCAATTTCGTCTTTCTGTGAGTGAATAAGTTTAACACCGTTTAGAGGATGGGTATAATAGAAATTTCACAATGCACATTCTCAAATAATTAGTGAAGTGTATTTCACCCTTTCCTCCATTCGGGATGCCATTTTTACCACCAGTCTTCAACTCTAACCTTCGAATAGAAGACGCCATTGACACATTTCCAACACTTCGAATAGAAGACGATATTAAGTACGCGATCCTAATGACTAGTAGGAGAATTAGTGGGTTTACTAGAATTAGTGGATTTTACTAGTACTCCGACTTGTAAGTAACTTTCCCAAATTCTTTTATAACAAGTACAAATTTTAAATTTAATATTTTAAATTAATAAAATTATAATTTATTAAAGAAAATAAGCAATGAAAAAAAAATTAATTTAATAAAATTAAAATTTATTAAAGAAAATAAGTAATGAAAAAAAAAGTTATTTAGTTTGACTACTAGTAATAGAATATGTAAAATGAGACAGAGAATTTATTTAAATTGGAACACAGTTATTTCACTTTTTTTTTTCTTTGTAAGTGTACAGATGATACACATGTTATTTCATATTTTATTGACTAAATTATTTGTCAAAATATATTTAGTCTTGTTAGACTACTTTTAGATTCTGTATTTCAGCCTGGGCCTACTTCAGAAGTTGTTGTGTCTGAGTTAGTACGTAACACATGATTTGTAAAATCTCCTAACAAAATTCTGGTAAATGAACATAGTCTTTAAGCAGCTTTTTGAAATGAATGGCACTCCAAATTCTAAGAATATCTTGCAGCTAAATTTCAAATCTGATGGTTACAAAAATTTTACTATAAAAAGTGGCATAAAGACTCTTGGAACTCGTGAATTGAGCTGTACTAAATTTGATTATTATTTAAAGCTATTTACTTTGTTATCTCTTATCTAGGATTTATTTTAAAGGCTCTACAAAGCTATCACGTAAAGTGATTATGGTGATTGAAGATTATTGAAGTGCTTTTTATAACTCAAGTGCTTGTTTGTTTGTTGATTGCACACGAAATGTATATATGTATTTTGTCTTACTTGTGATTTTAGCATGTGCATTTTGTTGTGCTCTATGTTAATGTTTGGTGAGGACCTCTGATATAAAGCAAAAGGAAACACAGTTAGTTTAATAGAAAAATGGGAAAGTATAGGCAGTTCAATAGAAAATTGAAAAAGCATATGATGTTCTGGGAAAAGCATATGAAGACCATTTGTACTTGCCTGAAAATAATTATATTTATTTTTTGTTAGTTTTCCAAAGTTCATTTAAAAGTAGTGCATTTGTTCCGTGTTGTTATTCGGACCTTATGAAGTAGACCATTTTGACTATACTTACTTGGTTGGCTATAAGTGGACCATTTTTTTTTGAAAAGCTATAAATATAAATTGTTTTACTACATTGTATAGATGTTGGTGAAGAAACCTCTGCCTTTAGCATAAAACTCCATATTGGTGGTGACTTAGTATGGCATTCAACAGTTGGTTATAGGGATGGTGGAGTGGAGTATTTTAACCATTTCAACTGTTATGAGGGCAGTTTACTAGATTTAATGTGAATGGTAAAACAATTGAGGTATTGTGATAGAAATGTGCAATTTTGGGCTCTGGTTAAGGGTAAGGGTAGAAAGAATCCAACAAAAACTGAACTTAAGCCTCTAATGAATGATGCAGACATAGTCAGTTTAGCTGGAGAGGTTCCACCAGACAAGGAGTTAGAAATATTTGTTGAACATTTATTTGATGATCAATGAGATTATGATGTAGAGATATTTAGAGAATTGGGAGATGATTGCCTACTCTATGATGAAATAAACCAAAGTTCTGAAAATGTAATTGGGGATGAGGTAGAAGGTGAAATGGAGGTGTGGAAGACCTTAATCTTATGAATAGTGAGACTAGTTCTAAGTAGGTGATGGCTGATGATGGGCTTGAAGGGGATGAAGTTCATGAAGTAGATTGTCAATTGTCTGAAGAGCTATTTAGGAGTTTAGAGAATTCTGATGGAGGGGTGACTGGTTTAAAAAATGTGATCCAAGAAAGAAACCTAGAAAAAGAAGGCTTTCAGTTTGTGATTGGTATGATTTTCAAATCAGCAGATGAGTTTAAATGGGTTGTTAAGTATCATGAGGCAACTAGAAGAAAAGATATCCACTTTAAAAAGAATGAAGACAGAAGAGTCAAGGTTGTGTGTAGACACAATGACATTTGCAACTGGACTATTTTTGCCTCAAGAAGCAATCCAAGAAGTCCATTCCAGGTTAAAACATATAATCCAGAGCACACATGTGGGGATCGAGATGAAAATAGAACAATGAATTCTGATTTTCTGGCAAAAATGTACAAAGATGACTTTAAACTTAACACAGAATGGGGTAGAGTACAGTTTCAAGAACATGTTAAGTCAAAGTTGAAATGCCAAGTTACTGAGCACCAGGCTTATAGGGCAAAACAAAAGGGTCTAAAGCAACTATAAGGTGATGATTTAGAACAGTTCTACTTACTTAATGATTACTGTGAAGAATTGAGGAGAAGTAATCCTGGAACTTTTGTGAAGATGAAGGTTGATGGAGAGTTCACTGTTAATGGAAGACCAAGGTTTCTAAGACTGTATATTTGTTTTGGAGCTTGCAAAGAAGGGTTTTTGAGAAGATGTAGACCTTTCTTTGGGTTAGATGGTTGTCATCTTAAGGGTTGCCAGAAGGGAGGGCAACTATGTACTGCTGTAGGTCTTGATGGAGATAAAGCCTTGTTCCCTATAGCATTTGCTATTGTTGAGGGAGAACTGAAGGAAAGTTGGTCATGGTTCTTGGAGCAATTGGAGATTGATCTTAACATTTCAAATAATTCCCATGCTTGGACAATAATTTCAGACAAGTAGAATGGATTGATTATTGCTATTGAAGAATTGTTTCCTAGAATGGAGCATAGGTTTTGTGTTAGGCACATACATGCTAACTTTGTAAGGGATGATTTCACTGGGCATATACTGAAACAGAAACTGTGCGCAGTGTGTAAAGCTATAACAGAAGCAGAATACAAGAGGTAAATGGAGGAGTTAAAGGAGTTAAATATAATAAGAAGGCTGCTGATTAGTTATTTGCAAGAGATGCTAAACACTACTGTAGAGCATTTTTCAATACATTTCCTAAGACTGATTTGCTATTGAACAATTTGTGTGAATCATGGAATGGTACTATCCTAAGTTTCAAAGACAAACCAATTTTAACTTTGTGTGAGAAGCTTAGGATTTATCTTATGACTAAAATGCAAAAAAAAAAAAAAAAAAAAAAAAAAAACAGAGAAAGACTACTCATTCTATGAAGATTTGTCCAAAGATATGTACGTTGATTGAAGCTTAGGAGAATGACATGGCATGTAGATACAGTACTTATGAGTCTGCAGAAAACATTTACCAAGTTGATGATGAGAACTTTAAGGCCTTCAAGGTGGATTTAATCCAAAAACAATGCAGTTGTAGAAGGTGGGATCTCATAAGCGTCCCTTGCAGTCATGCCATTGCAGCAATAAGAAAACAAAGGGAAAGCCCAGAAGACTATGTACATCATTGTTATACAGTGGAGTCTTATTTGAGAGCATATGAGCCAACAATACTGGCTATTTCATCTTCAGAGTTATGGCCCAAAACCAATCTCCCAGCTTCACTCCCCCAAAAATATAAGGCACAACCTAGGATACCTAAAAAAAACAAGATCAACCCTATTGAAGAGAACAAGAAAGATAGCATCGCACTAAGAACAAAGAAAGTTGGGGAAGTCAAAAGGTGCAGTGTTTGTGGAGTGAAAGGACATAATAAAGCAACTTGCAAAATAAAGAATCCACATGTATTGTAGGTATCTGAGGTTGATGAGGTAGTAGCTGAACAGAGTGATGTACAAATTGAAGGCCAGTTAGAAGATATACCAGTTGAGACAAAAGTCCCATCTTTTGTACTTGATGAAATGGTAATTGAATGACCTACTTTCATCATTTAATATTGGTATTTTATCAGTTGAATTTACTGTTGTTTGTTATGGAAATGCAGGAGTTAATGACATCTCAGCCATCACAAGTAGTTCATAGCTAAGGCCCTCCACTGTCAAACTTTGTATCCATTACGCTTAAAGTCTGATATTTACAAAGTGTTTGAACAATTTAGAGTTATGGTTGAACAACAATTTTCTTGTCCCATTAGATCTATTCGGTTGATTTGGGGGGTGAATACCGGAAACTACATACTGTGTTTATCTCTCTTGGGATTGTGGGGGTCAATCCTATGCGTATACGCATGAACAGAACGGTAGAGTTGAGTGTCACCATTGTCACATTGTTGAGACTGGTCTCACTCTTCTCGCTCAAAGCTCAGTTCCTTCCAAATATTGGGATTTTGCTTTCGAGGCGCCTGCTTTTCTTATTAATTGCCTACTGTCTTCTGTTTTTCAGTTTGATAGTCCCTATTCCAAGTTGTTTTGGTCTTCTCCGTCGTATGACTTTCTTCGTGTGTTTGGGTGTCTTTGCTTTCCTTACTTGCGTTCGTATAATAAACACAAACTGGATTTCCGTTCTGCACCCTGTGTCTTTCTTGGTTATCATGTGTCATTTTGGGGATATCGTTGCATGGACCTCAATACTAAGAAAGTTTTTATCTGTCGCAATGTGCGTTTTGATGAAAGTGTATTTCCTTTTGCAGCTGATTCTTCCTTACTGTCTCATGGTGTGGTTGATGAGGTGCCTTGGGGGCGCTGGTTTGGTGTCCTTTTTTATTGAGCCTCCTACGAGTTTGTTAGTGCCTTCTACCATTGAAACTAGTCTGTCTCCTCTGTCCGAGGTTGTCCCTATGCGTCCCATACGACGTATGGCTTCTACTAGAGTTCCTCCATAGTGCACTCACTCTATGTTGCTCTGGCACATGCCTCGGGATCCTAATACTCCGTTGCAGGCGTTGGCGTCCTCTACTGATTCCTTGGACCCTACTTGCTATTTGCAGGCGGTTTATTTTCTAGAATGGCGTGATGCTATGGATCAAGAGTTCAAGCCTTGTTGCATAATGATACGTGGAAGCTGGTTCCACCTCAGCCTGGGATAAATGTGATAGGTTGCACGTGGGTGTTTCGGACAAAGAGGAAGGCAGATGTTTCTGTAGAGCGCCATAAGGCACAATTGGTAACTAAGGGTTTCAATCAGGTTGCTGGGGAGGACTTTTTTGACACCTTTAGTCCTGTCGTTAAGCCAACCACGGTTCGACTTTTGCTTTCCTTGGCCGTGTCCCGTGGATGGACTGTGAGACAACTGTATGTCCACAATGCCTTCTTAAATGGGCGTTTGTCTGAGACTGTGTACATGAGGCAACTGCCTGGGTATTCTGATTCTGTTCATCCGGAATATGCATGTTTACTGTAGCGCTACTTGTACAGTCTAAAGCAGGCTCCTCGGGCGTGGTTTACCCGTCTCCATGATTTTTTACTCTCTACGGTTTTTTATCCTCGAAAACTGATGTATCTCTTTTTTACTACTCTATTGGTAGTTCGCAGGTGTTTCTACTTGTGTATGTGGACGATATTCTGCTCATGGGGAATGATACTGGTTTGGTTTCGGACCTTCTTAAGTGTCTTTTGAAGGCGTTTAAGATTCGTGACCTTGGCTCCTCGAGATTCTTTCTTGGCATAGAGGTTGTTCTTGTAGATGGTGGTTTTGTTCTTTCTCAATGCAGGTATATGGGGGATATCTTGAAGCGCACTGGCATGGTGGACTGTAAGCCATTGGCTACTCTTATCTCTCTCAGTCGTTCCTCTCATGTCTCAAGTGAACCATTTGACAATCCCACGCAGTATCGTAGTCTTGTAGGTGCTTTGCAGTATCTGACTATTACCGGGCCTGATCTGTCCTATGTGGTTAATCGACTCTGTCAGTTTATGCATTCACCTACTATGGACCATTGGAGTCTACTTAAGCATGTTCTGCGTTATGTCAAAGGTATGTTGTACTTTGGGTTGCGTTTGCGTGCTCCGTAGTCTAGTGAACTTCATGCCTTTTCTATGTCCGATTGGGCTGGATGCCCAATTGACTGGAAGTCAACCAGTGGGCTTGCGGCCTTCCTAGGATCTAATATTGTATCCTGGAAGTGTAATAAGCAGAGAACGATTGCCTAGTCATTGACTGAAGCTTAGTATAAGGGTCTTGCAGATGTTTCTGCTGAAGTAACGTGGATAGTCTCGCTACTGCGTGAGCTTAGCTTCCCACCTAGTTGTCCACCTCGGCTTTGGTGTGATAACCTCGAGGCTACTTATTTGTGTGTTAATCCGGTGTTCCATGCTAGGACTAAGCACGTAGAGATTTGTTTCCACTTTGTGCGGGATAAGGTGAAGTCTAGTGAGTTTAAGGTGAAATTCATCTCAACCAAAGATCAATTGGCGGATATTTTCACTAAACCTCTACCTGCTCCTCGGTTTGAGTTTCTTTGGGACAAGCTTAACGTTGTTTCTCTTCAACCTTGTGCTTGAGGGGATGTATTAGGACGCTAGGAATCCTGTTCTATTTGTAACCCTTCTATTGTTACTACTCTTGCTGAGGATAATATGTTCTGTGTATAGATAATAATGATAGACATACAAGATAATATAAAACTATACAAGACTAGTCCTAATACAACTAAAGAACTAATAACATAGACTCCTAATACTCCCCCTCAAGCACAAGGTAGACGGGAGACAACATTGAGCTTGTCACGAAGAAAAGAGAAACGTGGACCAGGAAGAGCCTTAGTAAAAACATCCGCAATCTGATTTTTAGAAGAAATGAATTTGACGAGGAGCTTCTTCCTGGCAACCTTGTCACGAACAAAGTGGTAGTCAATCTCCACATGCTTCGTGCGCGCGTGAAAAACCGGGTTAGCACACAAATATGTTGCACCTAAATTATCACACCACAAGGACGGATGCACACTTAAACAAACTCCAAGGCCACGCAGCAATGAAACCAACCAAGTGACCTCTGTGGACACATCCGCAAGTGCCTTATACTCAGCATCAGTGGATGATCGAGCTACAGTGCATTGCTTACGGCAAGTCCACGACACGAGATTTCCTCCCAAAAAGACGGCAAAACCACTCGTAGACTTTCGATCAATCGGATCACCAGCCCAATCCGAATCAGAAAAGACATGTAACTCTGTGGAAACAGACCGACGGATATGTAAGCCAAAATGTAAAGTGCCTTTGACATACCGTAATACCTGCTTGAGTAGGCTCCAGTGCTCAGTGGTGGGAGAATGCATATGCTGGCAGAGCCAATTCACAACAAAAAAGAGATCCGGTCTCGTGACTGTCAAGTACTGCAAGGCACCTGCAAGACTCCTATAGTGCGTGGGATCAGCATAGGGAGTGGCGGAATCATCAGATGACGCGACCAGAGAGACCGACGTGACAAGGGGCTTACAATCGACCATTCCAGCACGCTTCAGTATATCCTGCATATACCGCTGCTGAGACAAAAAAAAAAAAAAAAAAAAAAAAAAAAAAAAAAACCATCACGCCAGGGTACAGTCTCAATCCCCAAAAAGAACAACGGAGCACCCATATCTTGAATCTTAAACTCAGAAGCCAACTGCACTAGAAGATCAACCACCCGAGAGGAATCGGAGCCCATCACCATAATATAGTCTACATAGACAAGCAGATGAAGCTGCACAGAATCACGAGTATAAATAAACAGTGAAACGTTAGTCTTGGACGGAAAAAAACCAACCGAAACCAAAAAAGAATGTAGACGAGTGAACCAGGCCCGAGGAGCCTACTTAAGACCATACAACGATCACTGTAACAAACACACATGATCAGGAGTGGACTTGTCTTCATATCCCGGAGGTTGCTTCATATAGACCGTCTCTGCAAGATTACCATTCAGAAAGGCATTATGGACATCCAACTGCCGAATAGTCCAACCACGAGAGACAGCCAAAGACAGAAGAAGACGGACTGTAGTCGGCTTAACCACAAGACTGAAGGTCTCAAAGAAATCCTGACCAGCCACCTGGTTAATCCCCTTAGCAACCAACCAAGCCTTGTGCCTCTCTATAGAACAATCTGCATTGCGCTTCGTTATGAAAACCCACTTGCAACCTACGACATTCATCCCGGGGGAACGAGGGACCAACTGCCACGTGCTATTCTGGAGCAAGGCATTAAAGTCGGAATCCATAGCCTCACGCTACTCGGGATACTGAACCGCTTGTTCATTCGGTTAATCGTTCGGTTAACCGAACCGTTTTAACCAAACCGAATTAACCGAATTTTTTTTTGCTTTAACCGTTAACCGAACCGAAATTTACTCTACCGAATTGACCGAACCAAACTTTTTTTTGGTTAATCAGTCGGTTAACCGATTAACCGAAATTTTTAACCCTAAAATTTAAAATCCATAAAATAATTCCTAAAATAATAATTCCAATTAAAATAAAATACATATCATAATAAATTCATATTATTATTTATTCTATTTGACATTTTGACTATTTATGATTTTAGTAATTATATATTTAATATTTAATATATTATATATTATATATATATATTCCAAAATTCGGTTAACCGTTCGGTTAATTCGGTTAACCGACACTTTCAAACCGAATTAACCGTTAACCGAATTTTGAAAAAACCTTTAACCATTAACCGAACCGAAATATTTCGGTTCGAAAATGGTTAACTGAATTTCGTCGGTTCGGTCGGTTAACCGAAATTTCTCCAAAATTTGCACACCCCTAAGCATGTAGGCTCAGGGGCATCCGCGGCAGAAAGTAACGCCACATGCTAAGTTGGCCCTTGACTGCGTGTGGCCATCACATGAGAGCGCGGAAGCACCTGCTTCAGGGCACGACACCGATGACGTGCAGCCTGCCCAGCCACCACCGAATCAGCAAGAATAGAATCAGAGACTGTGCGGGAGCTGGAATCCCGAGAGACAGCCGCGGAATCCAACTGGCTAGTAGACTCGACTGAGACACACTCAGCAAAGCCGGGAGAGACACAAACAGAGCCCGCAACCCACGGGGAAACCACACCAGAACCTGAAACCTGCGCAGGCATAGAAGCAGCAAATGGGTAAACGATTTCATCAAACCGCACATGGCGGCAAACGAAAACCTTATTGTTAGCAAGATCCAAACAACGATAGCCACTAAATGAGGAAGGATAACCAAGAAACACACAGGGAGCAGAACGAAACTGTAATTTATTACGATTGTAAGGACGCAAAAGTGGATAACAGAGACACCCAAAAATATGCAAGAAAGAATAAGAAAGATTAGAACGATGAAGCCGAAAATGAGGACTATCATCATTCAACACACGCGTGGGCTTCTTGTTAATAAGGTAAACTGCAGTCTCAAACGCGTAGTCCCAATAACGAGAGGGTACAACCGCTTGAGCCATTAATGCAAGACCAGTTTCCACAATATGACGGCGCCTACGTTCTACCCGACCATTCTGCTCGTGGGTATAAATACACGAACGCCTATGATTAATCCCAAGAGACAGAAACGTCTTATGAAGACGATTATACTCTCATCCTAAATCAGACTGAACGAAAATAATTTTGCGATTAAACGACCGTTCAACAAGAACACGAAATTGATCAAAGATATTATACACATCAGTTTTGGCACGCATAGGATAATACCGAACATAACGAGTATAATCATCAACAAACAAAAGAAAGTAACGAAATCCATTGACAGGCAAAAAAGGTGTTAGCCCCCATATATCAGTATAAATTAATTATAGTACATGCGAAGAAGTAGAAGCAACACGAGGCAAGGGAAATCTATCCGATTTTCCCAGCATACAAGAATTACAAAGACCCGAACTAACACGAATACTAGTAGTAGGTGAACAAAGACGCAAAACTTGACGCAAAACACGATCATGAGGGTGACCCAGCCGACTATGCCAAATGGACGAAGACGCACGGGTAGCCACTAACGCAGTAGGACTCGGACGAGAAACATGCCACGAATAAAGACCACCCAAAGCCTGCCCCTTATAGAGGACCGCCCTGGTAGAGAGATCCTTCACAAAAAAATAGTTCGAGTGAAACTCAAAAAACACATTATTGTCTTTAGCAAAACGCTGAACAGACAAAATAGACGCAGATAACCCAGGAACAAACAGAACATCAGACAATTTAAATAAACGACTAGAAGAGGCTACCGAAGCCGAACCAGTACTGACAATAGGTAAACGCTTACTGTTTCCAACCCGAAGCGTGTCAATGCCAAAGTAAGAAGCCAATACGAAATCAACGACTGATCTGGAGTAGCATGATTTGAGGCGCCCGTATCCGGGAACCAGTGATGAGCCGCCACCGTGCTCAAGTCATCCATCGGAAAGGAAACATGAGCCTGAGGTCCAGGAGCGTCAGCATACCGCCAGAAGCACGTGAAAGCCGAGTACCCGCTGCCGTCACAAATCTGGCACCTCGGACCACTATTCCCACCGCGGCCACCACCACGGCCACGTGCACCACGTCGGCCACGATCACCGCCGCGTTGTCCACTGGAACGGCCACCACGCTGCGCGACCATGGCCTCACCGGCATCATCCGCACATATGAAAGCCTGCGACACAAGAAAAGCGGATAACTCACTCAGGGAAAGTGGCGGTCCTCTAGTCAGCGAAGCAACGAGCGGGCGGTACTCCGGACGAAGACCACGAAAGATGAACATGTTCTGATCCTCCAGTGTGACCGGTCGACCGGCCAACGCCAGATCTTCCACCAAGACTTGCGCCTAACCAAGGTAATCCGTGATGGAGGAATCCCCTTACTGCAGTGATTGCAACTGGCCGGAGAGACGGAATGCACGGGTACGAGTTGTGGACCCCAACGTTTGCTCGATTGACTGCCACAGTTGTCGTGAGGTGTTCTTCCCAATCGCCAAGTGCATCATCTCCTCCGACAAGGAAGAGATGAGCAAGGAAAGCACTGCACGATCTTGATGCTGCCAAGTGAGACGAGCCGACGCAGACGCAGCAGAAGAAACAACAGCAACATCCGCCGGCGCAACTTGAACTGCCGGACACTCCTCGGAGCCATCAACATAGCCCATTAAACCTTGCCCATCAAGAAAAGGAAGCAACTGAGTATGCCAGAAAAGGTAGTTGCATGACGTCAGTTTGATCGAGACAAAATTATGAGCGGAAGAGAACGACACGCTGTACGGAATGAGGGCCGAAATCACAGCTTCGGAGACAGTTCGTTCTGACGAAGCACTAACAGAACTGTCATTACCACCAGTTTCTGCCATGGAAAAAGAGAAAATTCACTGTGGAACTCTTGATACCAGATGAGGATAATATGTTCTGTGTATAGATAATAATGATAGACATACAAGATAATATAAGACTATACAAAACTAGTCCTAATACAACTGAAGAACTAATAACATAGACTCCTAATACTCTTGTATTTCATATATACTCTTATACAGGTTATGTTAAATACTTTCTCATCACAAACTCTCATCGTGCTTAAAATAATATTTTATTTAACTTTTCGCAACACTTTCTCCCAGAAATTATCGCAGAACAGATTTTTTTTAAATTAGTTTTCACTTTTCGCAACACTTTCTCCTAAGTAGACGCGTTTTTATTTAAAGAAACCGCAACACTTTATAAATGAAAGTGTCGCGTTTTCTTGTGTATTTATTTATGATTTTGTCACCACACTTTTGTCAACTATACGCTACTCTTTTTTTTTTTTTAAAGTGTAGCGCAAAGTCAGATTTTTTATGTTCAATTTTGTATTAGTGATGACAGTTTTTGTCCACATGTTTAATTACTATCAATGCTCTACAGATTGTCCAGAGCTTAAACCGAAATATTGATGACTCTTCTTTTGATCTTGTCCTTCTAGATATTAAAGATATGCTACTTTCATTCACACAAGTAGGTATCTCTCATGTTAGTCGCACTGCGAATAGAGTTGCCCATAATTTAGCTAGGGAAGCCTGTTCTATGTCTGTGCGTCAGGAGTGGAGTATGATCCCTCCTTCGTCTATTGTCAATGACTTGTATTTTGATTTGAAGTAATGAAGTTATGTTATTCTAAAAATAAAAATAAAAAATCAATTTTCATCTATGATTATTATTTTTGTCTAAAAATTTATCACACTGGTCACTTTCGATTAAAACATGTCGAATTGTGTAATTTGTAAGGGTATTTTCGTCCATTCATGTATAATAAGCCAATTTCATTAATATATAAATGGATAAAAATACGCTTATAAATTATACATTCTGATCTGTTTTAGCCAGAATGGTGACTATCGTGATTAATTTTGACACAAAAATAATAATCATAAATGAAATTGATAGTAATTAAATATGTGAACAAAAACTATCATTTTGCTAATACTCATAGAACCAAAATTGATATTTATTCATTGTTATTACTTATTATTATGTGATAATTGGCGACGAAAGTGCAAATTTCTTATAATATAATTTAGCGGGTTCATGAATTTACAGAATTACAGACACTCGTCATAGCCGTAAGCAAAGAGAGAGCAGAGAGGGACACATGTCGATAAAACTTACACCTAGCAGCTACCTGCCCAGACAGACAATCACCGTTCAAATTGAAATTCCTGCGTGCTAGCCTCTCTTTTGATCTGACAGTTAGCAATGGAGTCGGGAACGGGAAAACAAGAATGGAGAAACGCGGCTGACACCCACAAGATGAGTCCGGAGGAAGTGAAGAGGGCCGGAGTGGAAGAGTCGAAGCGGCCGCCAGGCCACAACCCCGGCACCGTTCTCCACCAAAGACGCCACCTTCCCTTCAGCCTCACCACCATCGCCATTGCCGGCCTCGCCATCTCCGGTGCCGTTTGGTACTTCACTTTGTATGCCAAGAAAAAGCCGGAAGCTAGCGCCGCCGACGTTGCCAAAGTCGCTGCCGGAGGCGGTGGACCGGAAAGTACTCACCCCCGGAAGTAGCTAGGGTAGTAAAAGTATATTACAGAGTAGTAGCGATGGCTAGTTCGTCTTCTCTTCTTCCATTTTGTTTCAATCGTTGTTGCTTATCAATACTATTAACATATCAACAAAGTTTACAAGGACTGGAATTATGGTTTTAATTCTTTGTCCAAGGTTTATTTAAATGGATTGTTCTAATTTCACTGCTCCCTGAATTAATTGAGCACAGAAATGAGGGTGGACATTTCGCGCTTCAGTTGGATTTTTTTTGTTTAATATTAGAGTTTGGTTTCAAACAGTTCGATTTTTTTTGTTTAACATTAGAATTTGGTTTCAAACAGTTCGATTTTTTTTGTTTAACATTAGAGTTTGATTTCAAACAGTTCGATTTCCGATCGGATTAAATTTCAAAGTTCGATTTCCGATCGGATTAAATTTCAAAGTTCGATTTCCGATCGGATTAAATTTCAAATTTCAATATTTCCTATTTTTTTTTGAACATACTATCAAACAATATATATTCACATAATCACATAATTTAAATCAAAAGTCTAAACATCGCATAACAAAATAACAATTCAAAATTTGAACACACTACTAAGTACTAATTACTAAATATCAGTTGATTTTTTTGCACAATTAACTCTTCAATTGAATCATTTGAAATATTTTATTGACAAGATGAATAATCATCTATTTGTATAGTTAATATTTGGAGAGCAAGTGTCAAGTATTGTATATTTAATTTTTGGACACAATCTGTCATTACTAGTGTACTGGAATATTATTTTTCATTGTACTGAAAATATAATTCAGTACTAAAAAATAATTTTAGTACACTGAAAATTAAAATTAGAATAATATTAAAGAATATTAAATTCATAAAATATGAAACTAAGGAACATATGAAATATTGTAAGAATAGCTCAATTTAGATATAATTATGAGGTAAAGAACAATTACAACATATGAGGTAAAGAATAATTATAACAAAAAACAAAAGTGCAAAGTAGAAAAGAAAACATAAAAATATCAAATAAAAAAAGAAGACATAAAAATATCAAATAAAAAATTTAAAAGAGATACCTGAGAATAGTAACTGGATTTACTTTTTTTTTTAATTATTATTATTATTATTATTATTATTATTATTATTATTATTATTATTATTATTAAAAAAATCAAATGTTATTCGGTTCTATCAAATTGTTCGATTTTAATTAAACCGTTCAGTTTTTTGGTATATTACTAGTTCGGTTCAGTAAAATTCGGTTCGATTCGATTCGGTTGAATTGTCCACTCCTACCAGAAATAACAGGCTTTTCACATCACAGAGAATTAGTTTTTTTTTTGTTAGATTTTATGGAGGAGATAAAGAAAAAGACAACTAATTAGAAAAGGTGAGACAATCGGTGATCATTTGTCGGTTGGAGAGTTTAGTGGCTGAACTCTTCTTAGAATTTAGTGACCAGTTATTACAGGTTAAAATTAATTTTTGAATTTCGAAATAAGAATAACATATTAATATATGTAATCACAATTTTTAAAAATTTAAAAATTTAATTATAATTGAAATATAGTGACTCTCTCATATGGGAAGTCATGAGATCGAAGCTCGGTGAGGCGACGTTGGCTCTTTGTACTTCAACAGATTGAGAATGTATAGATGAACAGATACTACAATGTAATAGAGTCAATAGCATTCAAAAAAAATCTAATTATAATTGTAATTTAAAAAAAAATTGAAACTTTTATTTTCTCAAAAAATTTTAGAGTTTAATTAACTTTTTATATAAATTTTAAAGGTCTATTTAACTCTTTTCGTATAAAAAAAATTGAAAACTAAAACAAATGTAGTCCTTTAAGCGTCGGCTAACTGCGGTTAGTGTGTAAACACCCACCAGTTAGCTTTATTTATTTATTTTTTTTTTATTTTTTATTTTTTTCACTGTGAAGCTCATCAAATATCATAAAAAATCTTCTCATGTGTAATATACTTTCACGCCCTTTCTAAAGATAGCAATTTCAATTCACATTGTATGAATTAGATTTTTTGAGTGATAGTGGGTGCACAGTGCATTGTCGGATCTAGCATGGGAGAAGTGGGGGCAGCTGCCCCCACTCACTCCCTTCCCCTAACCTTTTTATATAAATATAAACATAGGAATTAATAAAGATTTCAGTAGCTTAGTTGGTTGAAACCTTGAATTTGTTATGGTGTGTTATGTGTTATGGGATCAAAATCCACTAGCAGCACTTTTTTGCATTATGTTTCATATTTTGCCATAAATATTTTTATAGCATTTCAAAGTGTTTTAAAATTTAACCCTACGTAAGTATAGTTTTGGCTCCGCGAACTACGTTCCCACCCCACATAATTTTCTGGATCCGTCACTGAGTGGGTGATGAGTTGGGAGTGGGTCTTCAAAAAATAAATTCGTTGTAGGCCGGATTGGATTCGAATTTTATGTATAAAAATCTACTTGGAACCACACTCGACCCATCATATGTGTGTGTGTGTGTCCGCCACTGAGTGGGTGATGAGTTAGGAGTGGGTCTTCAAAAAATAAATTCGTTGTAGGCCGGATTGGATTCGAATTTTATGTATAAAAATCTACTTGGAACCACACTCGACCCATCATGTGTGTGTGTGTGTGTGTGTGTGTGTGTGTGTTTGTATGTATGTGTGTGTGTGTGTGTGTGTATATGTCAATTACTATGTAATGTGATGGCATTCCAGTTATCATTTCAAATATAGATGACCATAGGTTCAAATCCCGATGATGGGAGCTTAGATTTTTTGGGCTAAACAATACTATTTTTGTACAAGTACTCCGAAAATAGAATTAATTTCACAATCATAAATATTTTAGTATAATAGAATTAATTTAATTATTTTAGTATAAATACTTTCAAAATTTATCTGAGACTAGTCTACTGAAATATAATTATCATAGGCTCTAGACCCATATCATCCAAATTCTTAAGCCTGAATTTCATGAGCCCAAATATTCTAGTCCAACTACTAAACCTAGGAGCGATATGCTGTGCAACCGTGTGCACACGGTTGTAAAAATGACGTCGTTTTAACGTCCGGTTTAAAATAAAAATTTCAGTTTTGATAATTGTTAACGGCGTTATGTTGTGCATAATTTGAATTATATAGTTCATTCATTCTGGATATATAGTTCAAATTATGCACAACATAACACTGTTAACAGCAATCAAAACTGTTTTTTTTTTTTTTTTTTTTAATATAGTCGGATGTCAAAACGACGTCGTTTTTGTAACAGTGTGCACCATGCATGTTGCACAACATAATTTGCCCTAAACCTATTAAACAATGTATGTGCAAATTTTACTGTGGACCATGGTCCATGTAGTAATGTGGTCTATTAAGTAAGTATCATTCTAATTACACTTTAGTTTCATTTGATAATATTGCTCTGTTTTTCAATTTCATTTTTTATACTCACTAGTTTCATTATAGCAATACCAAAGTATCATTTTATTTCTACTATAGTTTCATTTGACATTTGACAATATACATTATTGTATGAACTTTGTAGTTTCACTTTATACCACACTAGTTTAATTATAGTAATGGTAAAATATTGTTTTAATTACACTCCACGTTCATTTAACAATATATGTTATTGTACGGTTTTAAATTTTAGTTTCATTTTTCAGACACACTAATTTCATTTTAACAACATTAAAGTATTATTTTAATTATATTACAGTTTCATTTGACAATATATATTGTTGAACTCTGTTTTTTAATTTCATTTTTCACATACTAATTTCATTTTAACAACACTAAAGTATCATTTTAATTCTACTATAATTTCATTTGACAACCATATGGGCCACATAGCACTATGGACCATGGTCCACTGTATAACAACTGCAAAGAATGTCCCTTGAACCCTGCATATAGATAGTTACTATAGCATTTTCTCTTCATTCGGGCAGCAACTTCACTCCTGCAGTTTCTTCCTCATTTCTCTCTCTCACAACTCTTCTCTTCCTAACAAATAAAGAAACACATGTTTCTTGATTCTCCTTCTCCTCTCAAACCCTAGATTCAAGCTCCATTTCATTCCTGTGTTAGTTTATTTTTTAGATAAGGTGCTTATGTCTGCTGTGGTTTTGGTCTGAGAATGTAGCTGGTTTGTTGTGCTGTTGGTATGAAAGAATGAGGAAGGGGTGCAGAACATCAAGCTTAGGAGTTGATTTTTGTAATTTAGCATTTGAGGTAATGGTTTAGGTTCATTCAAATTACTTTGCCCTATCTGCCTCTTAAATTTTACAAAACTATGGTAGATAGCACTTCATTTTAATTTGCAAAATATATGTATATACATATATGAGGTATTTGAGTGCAATGGAAAGAAAGTGATCGGAGAATAAACTAATTAATATGCTTGACAGGCATCTTCAATTCCTCTCTAGACTGTATAGCTAGGTGAGTTGGTTCTTGCAAAATCTCTTCCGTAAGACCCTCAAATTAAAGTTGTCGATACAAATATCCTCCATCAAAAGTAGTTGTTGGGATCCTCATTCAGAATACCATCATCCAATAATAAACCAATATCATCATCAACGCCATTATTTATATTATTCTCCCCTTGCATATATAGACGACCGGTTGTACCAAAATCTCCTCTAGTTCTCTAGTGTTGATATAAATATATAATAATAGCTGTCATTTTGTTCCTCATCAGTAGGTAATGTCTTCGTGGCCGTGGAATCTTCTACACCCTCCAAGATTTTCAATATCGTCTCAACGGGAACATCGATCCTTGCTGCTTTCTTGGGCTGGTTCACCCGCTCTCTTTTTTCTTTGGAGCCTGCACATCACCATATCCTTTGTATGTTCCAGAATTGGATATGCATGTCTCCATAGCTTTCTTGACCGCTGCATCATTGAGATAAAACTCTTTCAGAAGCCATTGCCGATCTTGCTCCGGTTCCTGTTTGTTCTAGTAAAGGAAGCTCCGCTTATACCCCAACCGCGCCCCACTTCCCTTGTGAATTATTGGTTTGCTTTTATCTTGACCGCGGTACCACGCCTCTTCCCCACTGTGCGCTCAAATCTTGAGGTCGACTTAGATTTCCTCTTCAACTGAGTGAAAAAGTACTGATA